ACTATGCAGGTATAGTTTGACTTTGACTTGAGTTCTGATATATATTTTTGCTCGGATTAAATTTTCTCCATACGAAACTAATGGAAGCTTATCAATTTCACACGAGATGATTACAACCGATCTTGTGTGCCATGCGAAATTAATTAATGAGAAGTTATAATTAATCGGAAGGTGGTTCTGAGCTTGGAAAATCATGGCTCCTTTGCCGCCACCGTCGGACCCGACCAAGACGAACTGGATCGTCCAGGTCGACGAGAGCGTCAAGCTCATGCCCTCCGGCGAGCAACAGTACTGGAAGAAGCGGTCCATCTAGAGGCTCCCCGCCTGCGTGACTGACCTCAGCTGCAAAGCGGACCGGCCACAGGCTGTCTCCTTCAGCCCCTATCACCACGGCGAGGACCACTTCCGCCCCATGGACGACCACAAGCACCCCACACTCATCCACTTCCTCAGGCGGTCTGGGAAGCCCCTCGAGCCCTCCATCGAGTCCCTGAGAGAGGTGGCGATAGAACTCAAGGAGAGCTATGACACGCTGGAACCAAAGTGGAAGGAGGGCGACGGCAATGGCATGGCAAGCCGGTTCCTGGAGCTGATGATCACTGACGGCCGCTTCATGCTCAAGATCCTCTGCGCAGGTGGACGACTACGTGCCCAACGACCACATCTTCCGCAAACACGGGAAGCTCCACATAATGCAGTACGTAAGGTGGGACAAGCTGATGCTGGAGAATCAGCTGCCGATGTTAGTGTTGGATCAGCTGGTCGACGTCGAGAGCGAGATTTCGTTCCGCCGTAAGAGATGTTATTGCAAGCACGCAAACTGCGTACCATGTTCAGCTAATTGATCTCGAATGGACCCTACCTGGGATCAATGAAATCTAATGCTCCAAAAATGTTGGATTCCCGATTGGAGATCAACAGACAACTTCGTTATCAAATCTATCACCGCTACCGGAAATTCTTCCTTTTCCTTTTACGCAGGTACTATCAATACGACAGCAATCTGGTATTCAATGCACTGACTTTGCTCCAACAACGCAGGAGGACAAATTCATCAACAGGCTCATCCTCAAGTTCTGCTCTCCCGACACGGGGTTCACGACGATGGGCAAATGCATCCACGTCCTGGACGTCTTCAGGAAGAGCCTGCTGTCCCATGAGAAGAAGCCCAAGAAGGTCCGTCACAGGCTGGAAGACTGTTGACACCTAAATTTTGCTTAAATTATTCAGGGTTTTATCCTATAAAAAATTTTAGGGTTTAATTTTTAAACCACTAAACAAAAAACATTTTCATTAAATTGCATGGCATATAGACATTAGGCGCATTTGCATTAATATGGTCTATTAGGACATATAAAAAAAAAAAATTACAGTCGGCCCATTCTTCCTCGTCTTTTTTACGCGGCCCTTTTTTTATCTTTTCCTCCTGTTTCATTTTCCCACGTGGGCCGGCCCTCTTTCCTTCGGCCCGGCCCGCGTCTGTTCATTCTCCCCCTCCCCAGTCAACGTTTCAGAGGGTACGGGGGAGGAACAGGGCAGAGGAGCAGAGGCAGAGCAGGGGCGCGGGAGGGGGAGTCCAGGCGATCACCGGCGTGATCCGCGGGTCGGGGCCAGGCCGGCAGTGCGGGCTGGCGGTGGCAGGGGCCATGCGCGCCTGCCGGCCGGCTCCGCGCCCCGGTCGCCCTTAAAGCCGAGAGAGAGAGAGAGAAATCGACGGAGGGACCGGAGAGAGGGAGAGCCGAGAGAGGGGGACCGGAGAGAGGGGAGAGCTGAGAGAGAGAGAGCTAGCAAGAGAGAGAGTTCGGAGTGCGAGATCGAAGGCGAACGGTCCCCGGTCGGTGACCGTCGCGCCTCAGCCGCGGCCGACGAGTCCCCTTTCACGGTAGGTCCGGTCCCGAGCACTCGCCGGGTTCGTTTTGGTTTGGTTCGATTCGGGGTCGGTCTCCCGAGGACCCCGGCTCGTGGGTGTGCAAGGCGCGCGGGCGTAGCCCGATCTACCGCGGTCGCCTTCCATTCGCCACCGCCTAGTCGGGTAGGGACTGTGGCCGCCGCTCCTGTTTTTTCCTTTGTACTCTGTTTTTCTGGGGGGTCACTGGCCGGAGCTCGCGGCCGTTCGGCTTGCGCGAGTCCCGGCCAGTGACACCTCGGGCTCGGTCCTATTACTCTGCGTGTTGTTGTGTGTGAATTTCGGATGCATTTGAGCCTCGATTGTGCCGGAAATCCCTCGTCTTTGTAACGCACGCCAACTGTTTGATGTTATGCCTGAACTAAGCTTGTTGGATTTGCCTCTGCTCTGCTGTGTTTTTTTGTTGTTTTGTGCGTGAGTGCCTGACGGTCCCGCAGTGCCGGCCGCCGCCACGGCGGTGACCCGAGCGGAGGACGCCGCGGCCCTCGGGCTGGGCGGCGACGCAGCCGCGAGCCGAGCGGCGGCCGAGCAAGGGCTCGGCCGCACGGCCAAAGCCCCGACCGCGGAGGTCGGGCGTGTCGTCCGACGGCCGAGCACGGGCGCGGCCGCCGGACCGGGAACCCCAGTCACGAAGGCTGGGGCTCGGAGAAGCCGGCGTCTCGACTGGCCGGCGAAGGCGAGTCACGCCGAGCGGTGGCAACAGACGCGGCGGTGGGTGTTGGTCGGGCGTGACCTCGGCCATGAAGGCCGAGGCTCGAAGGCGCCGGTGTTCGCGCCGCGGGGCTGGCGCGACTGGGTGACGCGTGCGAAGGCGGCCGCGAGTCGGGTCGCGAACCGGGTCGGACGCGCGGGCGAATCGGGTAGGGTTTCGGTGATTCGGGTTCGTGGGTCGAAATCGAATTGGTTTGTATTAGGGTTTGGGCTTAATTGTCTTTTTTTTGGCCTTTTCATATTTAGTGGGCCTTTATTTTTTTTTAATGAAAAAATTTCGGACTGAGCCCTTTTTCTTTCTTTCAACTCGCCAGACCGGGTTCAATAAATGAACTCGGTCCGTTCATGGACCCGGGCCGGCGCGCCCGGGTCAGTCCCGATCCGGGTCGGATGTGGAGATTCGACCCGGATCCATTTCGTATTATTTTAATATTATTTTTTAAAAAAAAAATTTAAAAAGAGAATTTCCGGGTCGGATGTGGAGACTCGACCCGGTCTGTTTTGTGCTTTTTTTTTTTTTTTTTATTTTAAAAAATCGAAAAAAAAATATATTATTTTTTTAAAAAAAAAATTAAAAAGAGAATTTCCGGGTCGGATGTGGAGACCCGACCCGGTCTGTTTTGTGCTTTTTTTTTTATTTTAAAAAATCGGAAAAAAATTTATTTTTTTATTTTTTTTCATTTACTTATTTTTATTTATTTTTGCTTATTTTATTTTTATTTTATTTTATTATTTTATTATTATTATTATTATTATTTTTTAAAAAAAAATTCGAAAAAAATTTGAAAAACCAGAAAATTTATTTGGACTTTGGAATTAGCTTTTCTTGCCCCTCTTGCATGATTAATGTCATTTTTGATTGCATGTTGCTTGGTTCACACACTTTGAACGGTGCGTTTAATTCAACCTCGCATGTGGTCGATTATGCATGTTAGGTTCATGTAGTGATCGTCGTTCCCCCTAGCTTGGTTAGGAATGAATTTTTGAGACTCCCAATTAGTGTGAACATGTCAGGTGGTGAATTGAGCAAGATTAGGTACCGAAGGGGCACTAATTAGTCAATTAGTGTAATCAAGTCCCCGTACCCATTGAATCTCTGGTTCGTAGGAGTAAAGTATTTCTCCCGTGCTTTACTTGGGTGTCTAATCGACCCACCAAGAATCGATTAGTGGCGACTCCTAGATGAAACTGATTTGCATGTTAACAACTTAAACCTAAGTCGCGAATTGGTATGGGCTTGGGAGAGCTCGAGCTAGGTTTAACTTAGTAATCCATTAGCCAAACCCCTTAGGCGGCTGGGCCAGTTCGGGGAGGTCGCGACAAAGACATGGGCCATGAGCGCGGCGATGACATAATCCAGTCGGTCACCGAGCTCGACGAGGTCAGGGATCCGGTTCAAGAAGAGCAAGATCACCAGCTGCAAGGACATCTCCTTTACCAGCGGGGTCCTGAGGCTCCCTGTGATCGAGGTGGACGACACCACCCAGTTCATGCACCTCAACGTCATGGCCTTCGAGCGATTCCACAGCGAGGCCGGGAACGAGGTCACATCCTACATCTTCTTCACAGACAACATCATCAACAAGGGATGGGATGTCGCGCTGCTCCATGACCGGGGCATCATCCAGAATTCCCTCGGGAGCAACAAGGTGGTTGCCAAGCTGTTCAACTCGCTGTCCAAGGACGTGACTCTCAAACCTGACAGCAGCCTCAACACCGTGTGCAAGGTCAACAAGTACTGCAAGAAGCCCTGGAACATGTGGAGGGCTAATCTCATCCAGACCCACTTCAGGAATCCTTTTATCGTCTCCCGTTGCCTCCATCTTCCTCTCAGTCTTCGGGCTCACTATAATACAGACTGTATATACCGTGTTCAGCTACAACAATAGCCCTAGCTAGCGCTCCCCCTGCCTCTATACATTTTTCTCCTGATGACTGACGCTATTGTTGACTGTCGTTATGAATGATTTTCCTCCTGTTTTCAGTCACGTTCATTTTCCCTCTTTAAATGCTTCAAATGACGGACATTCGGCTTTTAATCTATCAATTACAAAAGACAGATTCCCTTGTTTCAGTCTTCATCATGTTTGGTCCAATTTGGATAGGTAGTGTGAAGGATGATCAAGTTTTAGGCAAATGAAATCTTCCACTGCACCACCATCTTCTTCATGATTAAGCTTGTTAAGTTTGCAGCGAATTCAAGTGACAAACAAATATGGCTTTCAAAGTAAAATCTCTAATCCCCATTGGCCTCAAAATTCAAAGTCATGTATATCCCAATCGCCAAGCAATCAATCATATTGAAATTTCCAATATCCTTCGTCAACAAAATTATAAAAGAGATTCAATGTTAGAGAACGCCATTATAAAATACTATACCGAATAAAGTGACAGCGAATTGCTAATTATGTACAGAAAGCCCATAAATGTGGAGAAAACTGCAGTTCTCTAACCTCACTGAACAGAGCATATATTTTCTGTATGAATTGCAACAAACCGCAATATAATAAATGTGGCTAGTTGCTTCAATAAATATTCCGCGATCGAGTGTCCTTTCAGAGTTGGAGATCGATATCAAGCTTCCTATCATCTTCCAATTCCGATTAAACTCAGCTGCCATAAGAAGAGTTACCAATTTTGAGACATTGTCAGACAAATGAGTAATGTTTTGTAGTTGAAATAGAATAATAGAAGGAGAAGCAAACATACAATGTTATTCTCAGGACGCCTCCAGTAGAAGCCCTGGAGGAAAACAGGCAAGACATTTGTTGCAGCAAGGACATAAATAGTCATTGCGTTCTTCCCTATCCACTCCAAAACTGTGGTAGTATGCCTAAGTCCACCGAAATCAACCTGTTGAGAAAAAGCACATTAGAAAAAACCAGAATGTGTGGAACATAAGATAAGACTTGAGAAGGACAAGATCCTCACTATAGTGTAAAATGTTAACGAGTTAATACATGACCGAGGAAATCGACAATGCATTACCATCAGGTATATTAAGGTGAAGAGAATGCCAGCTACACCAGCAGTGACAGCCATGTAGCTACATGTGTAGAGAGCCTTATTCACATGCATGCCTGTAACGACAAAGCAAATGATAAATAATTAATAAGACTGTCCTCAGAACTGATAGTTGATTGTGATAAATAATCAAGATCGAAAGTAAATCACCAAAAAGATCTAATGCCAGGCCTAGAGCCACAAGAAAAGAAGATGAGACCATCCAGTGGAAAGTTCTATCCCCATGATCCTGGAAGCAAAATGCCAAAAGAAGAAAGAGGTCAAAAAGGTAATCTCCATTGGGTAAGATAAAATCTCGGCAACAGACTATTCCCTCACCTTAAAATGGACAATCACATGTCCAAAGTGCAAGCCAACCAAGCATGTAACCACGGCCATCACTGAACTGCATACGTAAAGCATACACATTGTTGGAATACATGAAATCAGTAAAAAATCAACAATTGTCCTTCTCCACAAAGAAGGCAACCACATATATCATTGATGGCAAGTTGGGTAATTAAATCACTAACCTAAACACAGAAACAAGAAAGATAATGAATATACAACATGCCTTTGGCCTTTTTACAGAAAGAACCACTTTTGATATAGCACCTAATATAGCAAAATCTGCAACTTCACCCCCCCCCCCCCCCCTTCAAAACCCATCTCTTCTCTTTATCTTACCACCTTCCACTCTTCCATCCTAGTCCCTCCCCCATTCCCTGATGAGTAGTTCTCAAAAATCACCTTAAAAGGCCTTCAGGATCAAAGGGGGCCTGGCACCATGATGGAGCATTAGCAGGCAAAGGACCAGACTCTGGAGAATGAATACTGCATTGCTGTGAAAGAGAATGAATTATCAGAACAAGTAAACAAATCTGAGATAGGAGAACCATAGACATAGAAGGCAAATATGATGAAGAGACCTTTGTCCGTGCATATGCTGGCTTTCTGTATAAATGTCTAATTCCCAACACCTCACGATCAATCATTGCAACAGCATTACAAGCTGGTCCAGTATTTCCTCGCACTCCACATTTCACCTTTAAATGGACAATTTTTAGCACCTAGTTAATCATAAATCTATCAATGTGATCAATCCAGGAAAAGATTGAGCAATGAATAGAAAAGTTCACCAAAATTCTTTCTTGTGAAAGGGAGGGAGATTCAGTTGGAATCCGATACTCCCAGTCGGGCACATACAGGCCATATAATAATGAAATATATACAGTGGTAAGCACAAGTACCACGGCCCTGGAAGAAGACATGGACATGGCATCAGCTAAGGAAGTCAACATGGTACAAGAATAATGCAGTCTCAGGGAATATCATCACAAATGTGGTCAACCAAGGGGAAAAACTTTTAAATTGACAACCCTGAAGAGTTATTGAGTCAAAGGCCATTCATTACCCTAGGAAAAAAAAAAACATGTATGTCTTGTAGAGAATGTCGGATATCCAGAGGTTTTTTCACAGACACGGGAATGAGGCAGAAATTTGTTGCTTTAGTTACTTGATAATACTCGAGCGAAATTCTTCCCATCAATGAAGACGCACAAGTCCCATTCAAGTGGAAGTGGTTTTAAACCTTCTTTAATTAACACTACCACCACATTAACTATTACCGTCATTATCTGAGTAATTATTTTGTCAATCGCTAAAATTCCCTGTAGAGCAAGCTGAGAAATCTAGCCGGCTTCTTGCCCTAAATATGGAAGAAAATCACTCAACTAGCATGGCCTAGCAGAGCAATGATATTCACAGTATTTCCAGTTTTGGAAACATTGGGACTGGCTTGTCCAGCCTCTGGAAATCAAAACAATTCAATAGTGAGAATAGGTACTCTATTTAATCTAATTACCATACCAATGACTTCGGTATTTCTTCAGCAGAGAAAATGCTGACTTAACATCATCATCTCCCTTCAGCCAAATCTCACATAGTGCCGCAACCATAAATGCTATAGCTATTCTCTGGAGGGACAGAAAGGTGTTTACCAAGTAATTAGACAGCATATGAAACTTCAATAAGAAAAAACAACTAAAAGAAGAGCTTTATAAAAGCACATACTTGCAGTATTCCCATAAATCTCATTTGTTCCATGTCCACTCCATAATCAAGACTACCAACGCCATGAAAATAACCACCTGAAGGGAAAGAAATGGCAGAAAGAAGGCATAAGATCCTAGTATGATACAGACCAGAAAAAAAAAAAATCCAGTCGTAGATGAAAGAAAAGGTGACGTAAACCTCATTCAGCAAGTAAACAACAAAATCTGCAAAGAGTACGTTACGGCTGTCACATATAACCAAGAACTACGTACAGTACCTTGGAGGAAAAGACCTAAAAGCAAAAGCTTAAGCGCCCGAAGAAGGACTTTCCGAGTTGCAGAAGCTCTGCACGGCATTTTCTACAAGCAAAAGAAATCTGTCAAATCATTGAGTTCATTAAAGTAACTCCCTCAATAGAAGTCAAGAAGAAAGAGGCAACATACATAGGAGGCACCTAGCTCTACGATTTAGGATTTGAGGTTCAAGATTAAAAAAGCATAGCATATTAGATCAGACTGAGTGCTTGAAGATGTAAAGAAAGAAATCAGCAACAAGTACCTTGTACCCAAGTCCCAGTGAGACACCAACAATAAACAGGAAAAATGGCATTACATAATCTGCCAGAGTTAAACCATCCCATGGTGAATGGTTGATGGCAGGGAAGATTCCACCCGCATGATCCACCACAATCATTAGCTGAATAGAGCAAATTAAGAGCAGGTAGAGTAAAAGTCAATTTCAGAACCCAGAAAAATATATCAAAGAATCTGCAAGCTGAGGGATACAGTCACTAAGTGATTCATGGTTCGTTAATATACCTTTTCCAAGATCGCATGTGGCTGAAATATTACATCATATGTTTCTCATGCCTTTTACGATTGAAAGCTTCCCAAGTACATGGGCTAATTATTGATCATTTAACTAACAGGAAAAATCCCACTCCAGAGCAAACATGAACAATCTGACTTGAGAAAGTTGCATAAATACTGGAATTGAAACTCATTTCTTTCTTACCACTTCATATCCAGGGAATCATAACATCAGTCAAGATTGTAAAAGTTCTACGTAGAGAAATATTGACAACATGGTATATGAACTACCACCGTAATTCAGCCACAATGTCCCTGCCTTCAACAAAACTATAGCAATTAATGGCCAGATAAGAGCCAATGCATCCTATTGCATTTCTCACAGAGCTAAAATAGACTTCATTTAGCGCACCTAATAATTCCCTACAACATATTTAAAAAGGAGTAATTCACTTCCGATACATTTGGAAACTGACGGGGACAGATTTCATGCCCGAGCACTCCCAGAATGAGTTTTACCAAGTTAAATGAACTTTTGACTAATGCATCATTAGGGTGGGAGTTTTTGCCCTATCTGTTTTGGAGTGAAGTTCGACATGTCTAGACTCTCCGGAGCTAGTGACATCACCTGAAAGCATATCATTCCAAAACCTCCCCTATTGCAGGAAAACCGTATGCCGGGTTACAATTATTTCTTCACAGTGTAGCACTAGGAAGAACACTCGTTCTTTTTTCCGTATTATTATATCTTCAGAATGTGGCAATAAGAAGAAAGCTCCTTTCTTCCCTTAATGTGAGTAGGATGGAAAGCAACTTTATACGCAAAGAATAAATAATAGATTCCTCTGTCTTGACTTTTGCTCTAAGTAAAGAAGAAGCAACAATATCCATGGCATGCAGGGTCCATGCGATGGGGCCAGGTGTGGGTCTTAGATGCTTCATCAAAGGTTATTAACATAAAAATGTTATAAAACTAAAAATACCTTCTCCAATAATTTCTCTTTCCTCTGTTTCTCAGGTTCACAAGAAATGGAGAGGTTGATAGCCGGCCAAAGCCTCAAAACTAAGGAGAATTGCATGAGAAGAAAACAGTACCTAATCCATTGCTCATTTCCCCAAGCTACAGTAAGGAGGCAAAACAATTGCATTATCAATGACTATGATTAAGATAATTAACCAACACCTTGTCCATAATTAAGATAAAGCTTTCGTATGTTTCTAAGGATAACAGTGCGTCTACCACTATCATCTGGACAATAGTAGATACGTCCGACCGGCCACGACCTCCGGGCACTCAAATTCAACACTTCCGTTGCCGATTCTACCATGCCGGATTAAAGATAGTCGCTACTCCTAAAAAAGGTTTCACGTCCCCGTCAATATCAATTTTTATCAATCCAACAGCAATAAATCTGTTGAACAGGCGGCAACTTTCCGGTGCGCCGATCCTGGGATTCCGGCAAATGCCCACTGAGAATGAGCATTGTGGGGCAACCCCAAAAGTTTCCTAGTTTTACCAATATCTTAACGATTGACTCGCGTCGCTTTCCTAACAAGATGAAAGAAAAAGGCTGAGGCGACATTTACCACAACGGAGAGGCCGCGAAACACGTCCAGAGAAACAAGCCGCTGCTGCCGCTGCTCGGATTCCGCCCCGCCGCCTCGACGTCGCCGACGACGAAGCCGACGCCGGCGCGCGGGAGCCCCGCCTTGGGATCGGGAGAAGCCTTCTCGACGTCGCCATTGGCGTCCTCCGTCCGCACCCGCTCGTACGCCCCCATCGCATTGTGGAACTACGCTGCCATCCCGCGACGAGACTTCTTCTTCTTTCCCTCCCTCCCGCCCGCCCCCTCACCTCCCCTCCCCTCCCCTCCAAGAGAAAGGAAAGGAAAAGAAAAGAATAACCCACCAAGGAAAAAGGAGCAGAAGAAGCGCTAAAGGCCCCGAACCAGAACCAGAACCAGAACCAGAAAGTAAGAGAATGGCGGAGGAATCCTCCTCCTCCACACGCGTCGCGTACGCGGAGGAATCGTCGACGAGCGCATGTAACCTTTCTCCGCTCCGCCGTCCTGGGTGGCGAAGACGACGACGACGAAGGAAGGAGGAAGGAAGAAACAATGGAGGAGTCGCTTAGGGAGTGATCCTGCGTGGGAAAGAGGAGGAATATATGCGATGCCCGCGCCATTCAATTAGATAATATTCCTTATTGAATTTATTCGAAAGCTACTTAAATTACGTATTATATTTTCTTATCTGGCTGGTATTAACCCTTTAATTATCTTGCCTAATCAGCCCGGATTAACAGCTCTTCTGGCTTACCCCCCTGCTCCCTATAAATTCACCTCCTCTCACTCCTTTCAGCCTTAAAAAAAAAAAAAAAAAGGACATAAGACACTCCAGATCAGAAACTTGCGGAACCATGCCTCGGCACTCGAACGAGACCGACTGGATCGTCCAAGTCAACGAGAGCCTCGAGCCCATGCCCTCCGACGATCAACAACACTGGGGGAAGCGGTCCATCTACAAGGTCCCCGGCCGCAGCACCAACCTCAACCGCAAGACCTACCGGCCTCTGGCTGTCTCCTTCGGCCCCTACCACTACGGCCAAAAACACCTCTATCCCATGGAGGAACACAAGCACCGCGCGCTCCTCCACTTCGTCAGGCGGTCCAGGAAGCCCCCTGAACGCTTCCTCGAGTCCCTGAGGGAGGTGGAAGAAGACCTCATGGCAAGCTACGAGGCACTGGCCCCGGAGTGGAAGGAGGGCAGCGGTAAGGGCATCGCGAGCAAGTTCCTGCAGCTGATGATCACTGATGGCTGCTTCATGCTCGAGATCCTTAGGACCACAACCGAGGAGGTGAACGGCTACGCGTCCAACGACCCCATCTTCAGCAAACACGGTCAGCACTACGCACTTCCGGACATTAAGCGGGACATGCTGCTGCTGGAGAATCAGCTGCCGATGCTAGTGCTGGAACGGCTGGTCGCCGTCTGTGGTGACATGAAGGTTCGTTCCTTAGATTTCGCTCCATCGTAAGAGAGGTTTCTTACACGCATGTAAACCGCCATACTATGTTCACAGTACATCTTGGCGATCTCAGAGGAATCAAATCTAATGCTCCAAGCGTTTTGGATGCACGGTTTGAGATCAACCGACAAAACATTATTAGATCTATGACCACTATCGGAAACTTCTTTTTTTACCTTTTACTCGAGGACAATCCTTACGAGTTACGACAGCAGGAGGAAGAGAAAATGCACTGACTTTACTCCAACAATGCAGGAGGACAATTACATCAACAGGCTCATCCTCAATTTCTACTTCCCCAGCGCGAACAATCCAACGATGGGAAAATGCCTGCACGTCCTGGACGTCTACAGGAAGAGTATGCTGATGGACACCAAGAAGAAGGACAAGGGTAAGAACGACGACAGCGACAAGCTAATCCGGCCAGCCACCGAGCTCCATGAGCACGGGGTCCAGTTTGAAGTAAGCGACAACACCAGCCTCAATGACGTCTCCTTTGCCAGCGGAGTCCTGAGGCTTCCCAAGTTTCCGGTGGACGATGACACTGAGTCCATATTCCTCGACCTCATCGCGTTCGAGCGCTCCCACGTCGGGGCTGGGAACGAGGTCACGTCCTACATCTGCTTCATGGACGACATCATCGACAAGGGGCGGGACGTCGCATTGCTCCGCTCCAAGGGCATCATCCAGAATTTCATGGAGAGTGATGAGGCGGCAGCCAAGCTGTTCAACTCGCTGGCCAAGGACGTGAAGCTCGACCCCGACAGCAGCCTCCGTGACGTGATGAACGAGGTCAAAGAGTACTTCAAGAAGAGGAGGCACATGTGGTGGGCCAATCTCATGCACACCTACTTCAGGAATCCTTGGGTTATATTGTCTCTCATCGCGGCCGTCGTCCTCTTCGGGCTCACTGCAATTCAGACCGTATATGCCGTGCTCAGCTACAAAAAATGAATCCTCCCTTTGCCTCTCTCTGTACAATATTTTTTTCTTCTCCATTTTTTGGGTTTTCTCCTAATGGCTTGTGATTGTTAAATACTCTCTCTAGAATTGTCTACAATACTCTCTCTCTCTCTCTCAATGGTTGGTGACTTTTGTGGCAGAAAAACGCTTGGGAAGTAGTTAATGTTTGTAATAAAAGAAGAGTCCACGTTTAAGCTCTATGAGAAGACTTTCTTGTACTATGTCGGTCATTGGAGGACCAACCAAATAGTGGGTGGGTACCCAAGTGATGCCACATCAGCAAAAAAAAGCCCTGCCACGTGTCTCTCGCGGGCCCAACTGTCAGAAAAAACTCTCTCTCCATTGCGGTTTCTTCTCGGCCATGGCCATTAGCTCAAGTTCGACCTCCCGTCCATGGCTGCTGCAAGTTTTCAAATCAAATGTCCGCGGCCACGAGACTTTGGGTCTAATTGCCGTAGCCGCAAGCTCGAAGCTCCATCTACACGGCTTCTGTGAGCTTCAGCATGAGCATCCATGGCCGCGAGTCGTTGCAACTCGGGCCGCCATGGCCGCCAGCTCAACAGATGGCAGCCATGGTCAAACGGTTATGCTCGAGCTCGCGTTCTATGCTCAAACCCGAGCTCTGCGGCTATGGCGACGACGAGACTCCGGATTAAGTATCCTTGACCATAAGTCTCTAGATCTAGCGGCTATCGACGGGATTCGAAACTCGAGCGACCATGACTAGCCATGGCCGCGAGCTTGAAGCTCGAACATGCTCGCAACCGCGAGATTGAGCTATGTGGCTATGGAGGCCGAGATGTTGGGCTCAAGCTCAAGATCCATGGCCATGGTGGCGGCAAAAAAGAGAGAAAAAAAGCAAGTGCAGAAGAGAGAGGCGAGGAGAAAGAGCAGAAGAGAGTGTTTTTTCTGGCAGGTGGGCCCGCGAGGCACACGTGACGCACGAAGAATGGACTTATTTTTTTACTGACTTGGTATCGCTTGGGGTACCTAATATTTTCTCGCTTTTAGGAACAACCCCAATATAGATGATAGATAGCTATTTCGCGAATTATCCGGACAAAGTTTCGAGCCAAAAGTTGTAACCGTGAACATATATTATAGGAATTTTCGTTGCCAATACTCTGTGAATTTGATGTACGCTTAATCGACATGCATGTATAGTCCTTAAAAAGTAGGCCAATCGAGGATCTCGAAATGCCATAGAATCAAATCAATTTGATGTTTATCAATCAATGACGGACGATTGAGCACCAAATCAATTGGATCATCTGCTCTTGTTCATATTTTACACGAAATGTTACCGTCGTATTCTATGAGCACAATTGATTTTGAAATCAATAATTTATGCATCAGGTTGGGTATAGGTTCATAGAGCCGGTGCATTATTCAAATACAACAATTTATGGCAAAAAAAATTGCTAACATGAATTTCGGGTGGGGCCGAGTATGAATCAGGTACATGTTGGATCGAATATAAGTCATTAAATTTGTAATGTATAAAAATTGATCTTAACGAGTTAAATGAGTTAATTTAGATCGAATCCGACTCAGCCGTTTGACGGGCTTATGTATAATTCACTTTTTGTGCATGAGGTAGAGAGAAGAAGTGTTTAAGCATGTTTCATGGTAGCCGTAGGAAATGAATTGCATGCACGCGAAGCGCGACATCCTGTGACTGTGTACGAGCGTTTGGATTTGATAAACCTCACAAGTGTCTGCTTAAATCTGCAAGGTCGTTTCAATTGAATACAAGTAATGCTGATTAAGGTATGAACTCGCATATTTGATATTTGATGTGACACTAGATTTATAATAGTATTTTTCTTCATTTTATTTGGTAATAATTTTTACCTCGTCTATTTAGGATATGTCAAATTTTTATTTGAGGTGTCACTTTTAGTACTCGATACCCTTTTCCTGTTTATACAACACTTGTACGGAAAAAAATGCACAATGAAAAATAATCCGGTAATATCTATGCATAATTAGCTCATGACAATTATATAACTTCTCATAAATTAACTTATGATGGAACACAAGATGGTTTGCAATCATTGATTGTGAAATTCAAAAATCTCCACCTGGTTTGGTATGGAGAGAAATTAGTTTAAGCAAAAAGATATATTTTAACTCAAATTAAAAAAAAAGAAGCAAAGTCAGGTTTCTAAGTTCAACTAAATATTAATGCGAGTTTATTTTTTTTAGCTTCAGATCACCTAAGCATAATTGACTGCGAGCATTTATGAGCTCCAATCAGAGCTCTCTTAAAAGATGTGTCCATGTACGAGACTCGACCCGAATTGCCTGAAGCGGATCAGAATTCTTGACCGAAAACCTATTGGGGATCTATCCAAACTCTTCCGAAACTCTTCAACATCGAATAAAAGTCGTCCTCATCGTGCAGTGAACCACTCTCTCTACCTTACAGTAAATTTGTGCAGCATATCATTCTCTATGGTGATGCTTGTGTGTACACTGGAAAAAAAACAAAGACATTTGCATAGCAAGTGACGCAATAAACTACTATTTCTGGTTGTCTTTTATGGTTTTTTATTTGGGATAAGCGCGTTGCCTGGTAGACTTTCGCTGTTCTAAAAGTTTCTCTACAGAGCCGAAAGTTATGCTGCGAAGGTTCCCAGGAAAATGACTCACCTTTGCGAAATATACCCTCTCAGTTGTGGCCAAAGCTAGAGCTCTGTCGACCGACCGACCGAACCGTAGAATCAGCAGCAAAGCTCGATGAGGACCTTCGAAAAAGCCCCGAAAACCGGCATATGTCACGGCGCAGCTTTCTCGGAGAAGCATATGTGAGCACACATGTATGGAAGGAATTCAAATGGGTGGAAACAGAATGGAAACGGGGAGGGGTTTGCCTTCAAATGCACAGAAGCATACTCGACCCGACTTTTATCTTTTTTCTCAAAAGGAAATCACCTTATGTTCCAATGGCGATGTTCATGAGGTCTTAACTTTTTAAATTAAGTACCACATGCATCGATTCATTTGAGCTCGCTTCGTCTCATTCATCGGATCACGACGCAAATCCCGAGCAGACCCGTGTTTCACGGTCTTTCGAACGAAACGAGTTTCCATGTTCCGACCCCACATGAAAAGGAAATTTCGGCAGTTTGCTTACTGTACGTGCTCACATGTATTAAGCCGGAATCATGATGATCGTCACTTTCAGCCGCTCTTTTAGACCGTCGAACAACCCCAACCCCCCCCACCCCAGCTGTTTCAAGTTTTTGTGAACTCAAAACTCAAACGGCCACGCGAACGATTACTTTAACGATTTTTCTAACTCCAACCACACAGCTTGCAATCCTCGTCCCACGCGAAGCCCTGCGATGTCGTGTCGTATAGCTGTGGATCGTGTTGCTTTCCCTTTGGCCGACATGGTTAGCGACAGCTCACCATTGCTGTCCCGTCGATGGAGTCTGAGCTGTGGGGGCTGAGCTGTGGGGATTAACGAGCGTGATGAGCCTGAGCTGTGGGGGCGAGAAGACTAAGTAAAGAAGAAAAACATCGAGGCTCGTGCGGCAGATGCATTCGCTTTTGCAGCTCATTAGTACGGCTAAGGCAAAAAGGCTACGTGGGCTGATCTCTCTGTCTCTCTCGCTGTCTCGCGTGCTGTATAAACAATGGTTTGACCGAGCCACCGAGAGCATTCCGCGGACTGATCGCGTTCAGGTCTGCTGCGCGATTCGTGCGTGGCGGTGGCGGTGTGGATGGACGAGCCGAAGCGTGCGCCCCGTGCATGCGCGTTGGCGATGTGCGTGTGTGATGTGACGCTCCGTCGAAAACCAGAACTCTACAGGCGACCCCCTGTTTCCGAGAGATTTCTAAAGTGGTGGTGTGCGAGATGATCGCCTCGTTGTTGAAAAAACCTTACTTGTGCGAGATAAGATTCACTTTAAATTTTTATTTAAAAAAATAATGATATTTTAAATTTTTATTTAACATAAAATTCATTTTAGATCCAAAAAACTGAAAGCATTCTTATTTGAAATTTTCCATAAAAGAAAGGGGCAGTTGATTTGAGAACGTTACAAGTCTCGGTGGGCCCTCCTCCCACGTGTGCAAAGTCTACGAATCTTCGGGACAAAATTGTTGTTTATTCTCATTTCCTATTAGGAACAACCCCAATGTAGATGATAGATAACTCTTTCGCGAATTATCCGGACAAAGTTTCGAGCCAAAAGTTGTAACCGTGAACATATTATAGGAATTTTCGTTGCCAATACTCTGGGAATTTGATGTACGCCTAATCGACATGCATGTATACTCCTTAAAAAGTAGGCCAATCGAGGGTCTCGAAATGCCATAGAATTGAATCAATTTGATGTTTATCAATCAATGCCGAATGATTGGGCACCAATCAATCGGATCCTCTGTTCTTGTTCAGATTTTTCACACAATGTTACCGCCGTATTCTATGAGCACGATTGATTTTGAAATCAATAATTTATGCATCGGGCTGGGTATAGGTTCATAGAGCCGGCGCATTATTCAAATACAACAATTTATGGCGAAAAAAATTGCTAACACGGATTTCGGGTGGGGCCGAGTACATGTTGGATCGAATATAAGTTGTTAAAATTGTAATGTATAAAAATTGATCTTAACGAATTAAATGAGTCAATTTGGATCGGATCCGACTTAGCCATTTGATGGGCTTATGTATAAGTCACATTTTGTGCATGAGGTAAATAGAAAAAGTGTTTAAGAACGTTTCATGGCAGCCGTAGGAAGTGAATTGCATGCACGTGGAGCACAACATCTGGTGACCGTGTACGAGCATTTGGATTCAATAAACCTCACAAGTGTCTGGTTAAATCTAAAGGGTCATTTCAATTGAATACATGTAATGCTGATTGAGGTATGAACTCGCATATTTGATATCTGATGTGACACTAGATTTATAATAGTATTTTTCTTCATTTTATATGGTAATAATTTTTACCTCGTCTATTTGGGATATGTCCGATTTTTATTTGAGGTGTCACTTTTAGTACTCGACACCCTTTTCCTATTTATACAACGCTTGTATGGAAAAAAAAAAAAGGGAAAATTTCAATTTGGTACTTAAAGGGGTCATTTTCTCAAAAAAGGGTCCAAAATGGACAAAGTGTTAAATAAGGGCCTGAAGTGCCCAATCAGTCTCAAATAGGGCCCCGAAATGCCCAATTAGTCTCAATTAAGGGCCTGGGTTCGCCGGCCGGTCAAATGCTCACCGGCCGGCGAGTACGTCATTGTTCCGGCGGGGCAATTTCTTCTTTTATTTTTTTTCTCTTTTCCTTTTCTTCTTTTTTTTTTCTCTTTTCCCTCTTGGCTGGTGAGTATTTGACCGGCCGGCGAACCCAAGCCCTTAATTGAGACTAATTGGGCATTTCGGGCCCCTATTTGAGATTGATTGAGCACTTCAGGCCCTTATTTGACACTTTGTCCACTTTGGATCCCTTTTTAAGAAAATGACCCTATTTTGAGTACAAAATTGAAATTTTCCCAAAAAAAAATGCACAATGAAAAATAATCCGGTAATATTTATGCACAATTAGCTCATGACAATTATGTAACTTCTCATAAATTAACTTATGATGGAACACAAAGATGGGTTGCAATCATTGATTGTGAAATTCAAAAATCTCCACCTGGTTTGGTATGGAGAAAAATTAGTTTAAGCAAAAAGATATATTTTAACTCAAATTAAAAAAAAAGTAAAGTCAGGTTTCTAAGTTCAACTAATTATTAATACGAGTTTTGTTTTTTTAGCTTCAGATACCTAAGCGTAGGGGTGTCAATGGGTCGGGTCGGATTTTCATGATACCCGACCCGACCCGAAATAACGAATATGTGTGCTTGGCCCGACCCGAAACAAGACCCGAACATGATATAGCCACACAATCGGGTCGGTTCGGGTCATGTTCGGGTTGGGTCGGGTTCGTGTTTTGGAAAGAGGGGAGTATGAATTGGAGTCCGGGAGGATGAATTGCCTCAGGCTCTGCAGTGCATTAAGGCAAAGTATGAAGGATACACTCTTAAAGTTGGCGTGAAGTGGAGTGGAATGAAAGAAACAAATACATGAGGAATCTGATCCTCTTGAAAGTAGAGTCATTACCAGTGTTCTTTTTCCGGTGAGGATTTCCTTTGAATCCCTCACTCCAAGATGGTTGCAGGTTGATATCTACAGAGGTTGCTGAGCTGTGTCATAATCGGAGGATCCCTTGCCGATTTGGCCAGAAGGAACCGAAAAATCCTAGATTTGGAGATGTACATTGTTGCTGATCAGACATCAATTTTCATTGTTTGGAGACATCGATCTTTTCATTGTTTTGTTGGGGACATCTATAGAGGGCTTATAGATGATTCGTTCAGAATCGATGAGACATATGCAAAGAGAATCTGTATGAGGGATCGTTGTGGACTTGCTCCTTCCACATTTTGGAGCTTCGAACTATGAGATCGTTTTCTTATCGAGGGAAGAAAATTTAAGCATCATGAACACAAATCCTACGAAGCAAAGAGAAAAATTAACGACTGAAGCTAAGAACACACGCCTCCAAATGCCACTCAGTGTACGAGCTAGTGCATATATCGATTCAATTCCGTGATCAACAACCAAATCCTACCTAAAGAAAGGAGAAAAAAACAGGAACGGATAGGACGAACCAGATTGCGACGAGATTCAGCGAGCAGAGGCAACGGAGCAGATCACGACGACAAAGGCCGCGACGACGACGGAGAGGCGACGAAGCAGGGCGGACGAGCAGCCGCGAGAGCAGAATAGATCGGAGGCAGAGCGCCGACGAGCAGCACAAGACGGACGCGGAGAGCGAATGAGGCGAGGCAAAGAAGAGCGAGCGACCGACCGACGAGAAGATTGGAGCACGAGGAGGCAGAGACAGCCGGTGCTGGCGGCGACGGAGAGAGGCCCACGGCGGAGATGAGGGCGACGACGAGGAGAGGCGGTCAAGCTCGTCCATCATGATGGCGAGGTCATCGTCGATGCAGCGGGAGATGAGGGCGTCGAGGTCGGAGTCGGGGAGCTGGTACTTGAAGGCGAAGGGGGGCGCGACGGCGAGGGTGGGGGAGACGGGGGAGGCGGCTGTGGAGGCGCGGTCGACGGTGACGATGCGGGTCTCGCCGCCGTGGTAGAAGAGGGACTTGGAATGGGGGCGTGGGGCCACGCCTACGCTGTAGCTGCACATGAGGCGGAGCTTCAAGGAGGCGGAGGGTCGCGGCGGCGGCGGCTCCATCGCGGCGGAGAGAGACGCGAAAGAGAGATTGCAAAAGAGATCGCAGAAGAGGTGAGAGAGGGAGAGAGATGTGGAAGAGAGATGTAAGGGTTTCTTGTTTGAGTTTTCTTGTTTGGGTTGGGTTTGGGTACCCAAGCCTAATAGATCCAAATAATATCTAATTTTTTTTATTGTTACCCAAATAAGTTGAGATCCAACCCGACCTAATAAGAAAATTTCATGTTCGGATCAGATCGATTCGTGTTTCGATTCGAGTATTGTGTTTGATTTTGACACCCTTACCTAAGCGTGGTTGACTGCGAGCATTTATGAGCTTCAATCAGAGCTCTCTTAAAAGATGTGTCCATGTACGAGACTCGACCCGAATTGAATGAAGCGGATCAGAATTCTTGACCGAATACCTGTTGGCAATAGCTTTTATCTTTTTTCTTAAAAGATGTGTCCATATTCGGTATTATTTTCTACCTGTCCTTTTTATTATTCCTGTTTCTCCGTCAAGTACTCTCTTGAGAGAGTGCTTGACGGAGAAGAAGAAATAATAAAAGCTTTCTGCCCGTCCTCAATAAAATGGACGAAGATGGCTTCCTAAAAGCTTAAAAAAATTCATGGGGAAAGAGGAATAATAAAAAGGACGGGCAGAAAATAAAAACGAAAATATTTAATAATTGAAAAATGATAATTTTTCATGTATATATAAAATATATATTTAATATATAATGTATCCTAATGTGTCGAAATTTTTTATTTTTTGAAAAATGATATGTCGGCATGTCATGTCGTGTCGTATTGCATGTTGTTATCGGTGTCAGTGCAACATAGGCTACGAGGAGAAATTATTATCCGAACTCGAGTACAACAGCAGAAGCAATGGATGCCTTTAGTCAAGTACTTTTGTTTTTGTCCTTCCGCAGAGCCTTCAATCGTTTATGAAAGAAAATTGAACGTGGTGTACGGGCAACAAGGACTCGAAATGAGTCATCAATATTCGTAATTAGAACTTGAGGCTTAAGATGGATGTCATGTAATATATCTCAAAGAGTGAATAATAATGCTTGGTATAAAAAGTTAAGGAATGTATCAGTTGGGGCATTTTAAAAATGAGTATGAAGTCAAACTCATGTTAGGGTTGGACCAAAAAAAAAAGAGTCATGCTAGGGATACTAAAACTGATATGAAAAATTGATTCCCGAAATAATGTATTAATGTGATTGGTTTAGGGAATTAGTCATTTTTCATGAGATATTTGTGTTTAATGTTTACTATTTATAGCAATTATAATGGATCCAAGTTCTTTCCGATTGGAGCTCATAAAAGCTCGTGGCCGATTATGCTTATGTGATTGAAATAAAAAAATAAAGAAAGAGAGGAAAGGAAAAGCCCACACTAAAAAACGTCCTCAAGTAAGAAATTTGGAATATTCCAAACATACGAGGTAAAAATTACCATCAAGTGAAATAAATAAAAATTACTATTTTAAATCTAGTGTCACCCCGTATGTGCTAACTCCATATCCATACGGACATTATATGTACTCAATTCATACGAGCTTTTTTAATTTTAGGCAGACACTCGAAAGATTCGTTGAACTCAAAGGCTCATCCATCGTCGGGAGATCACGTGAATCGTGGGCACGCAATTCGATTCCTTCGGTTTTCGTGAGACATGCTCAAACAACTTTTTCTCTTTACCCTAGGCACAAAAAGTGACTCACATACTTTATCCCCTCTTCCTATATATATAGATTCGCCTCTTCTCTGACTCCTTTAAGCTTGAAAAAAAGAACACAAGACGCTCCACAACAGAAATTTGGGGAACCTGTGAAACTTGCAGAACTATGATTCCTTCACAGCCACCACCGGACCTGAACGAGACCGATTGGATCGTCCAAGTCAATGAGAGCGTCAGGCGCATGCCCACCAAATCCGACGAGGGACGGTACTGGGAGAAGCGGTCCATCTACAGGGTCCCCGCCTGCATCACCGACCTCAACCGCAAGGCCTACTGGCCGCAGGCTGTCTCCTTTGGTCCTTACCACCACGGCAAGGACGACCTCCTCCCCATGGAAGAGCACAAGCACCGCGCGCTCGTCCACTTTCTTTGGCGGTCTAGGAAGCAAGTCGAGCCCTTCCTCGAGTCTCTGAGAGAGGTGGAGCAGGACCTCAAGGACAGCTACCACAAGCTTGACCCGAAGTGGGAGGAGAGTGGCAGCGAGGGTGCGGCGGGCCCGTTCCTGCAGTTGATGATCACTGACGGCTGCTTCATGCTTGAGATCCTAAGGAGCTGGATGCTCCCGCCGCAAGACTACCCACTGAACGACCCCATCTTTAGTGAACAGGGGCATTTCTACGTACTGCCATACATAAAGCGGGACATGTTGATGCTGGAGAATCAGCTGCCGATGCTAGTGCTGGAACGGCTGGTCGCCGTCGAGAGTGATGGCGAAGAGGTTAGTTCCTTAGCTTTCGTTGTGTCATAAGAGAATTATTGCACGCACGCAGACCACCATGCTATGTTCACCTCACTGAATATCTTGGTGATCTAGATGGAACCCATATGGAATCCATTGAATCTAATGCTCCAAACGTGTTGCATGCACATTTCGAGATCAACCACAATTTCACTATTAATTCTATCACCACTATTGCTCTCCCCTCCCCCCCCCCAAAAAAAAAAAAATCATTCAAGTACTATCTATGTGCCAACAATGCTGTATTATGCTGCAAAAAACAAGCAATCGAACACAACAATAAACAAAACAAGAAAATAAATCGAACATTGGATTTATGTGGTTCTGTCGATGTAATTTACTCCACGGAGAGAATAGCATATGATTCCCCTATAGATCAAGTGATATAATGGAAATTACAACAACACTCGAGTCATTCAAATATTATTAATGTTTCCCAATCCCAAGTACACCTAATAACTCACATAATATTTAACCCTCACAATTTCTTGTGAAACAATGTCGCAACTTTACAAATGAATTCACAAATCCTACCACAAGGTTTATTGGCTTCAAAATACTTGCAATTTCTTTAGGATGTAATCCACGAGCACATCGCACTATTAACTGTAATGGCAAAAGCTCATCTGCTCTTTGATAGGAAAAAATCAACACCCATTTAAGAAATATATAATGTTTGGATCCAAAATAGAAAATCTCTTTTAGGAAACTTACTCAAATTAGGAAATCTTCTTGGATCAAGTTTCCTTTACGGGCTCAAACTCAAGATATATGTTCAACAATCTTCATCTTCATTTGATGTTTGAGTTAAGTCACAATTGCTTCGTGTGAGCCTGATCACTGCTAATCTCTCGGAGCCCCTCATGGTCTCAAATGCTACAAAGATCTTTCAAGACCAAGCTGCACTTGAACTTTGCCATAATTGTGGACTTTATCAAGACACCAACTCAACTATCACCTCTAGCCACTATACAAGGATTCTAAGACAAAACTTTTACCATAGATAAAGCAAAACTGTCATTGCATCCATTTTTGTTAGGAGATCAAAGATGAACCTTGTTAAACTCAGCAGCTATATCAATCGTTGGTTTTATAGGTTTCATTTTGCCATAAGCACCGTTTGCATCGATTACTGCATAAGCACCTATCGTCGAGGCTAACAATGTAATCTAGAGGGGGGTGAATTGATTAATTTACAAAACTTAACAGTTTTTCGTGAAATAACTTGAGTTAAGTTTGATAGATGGAGGAATGGTTTGACAATACCATATGCAAGATGCTTCTATCAGATAAACAATTGAAATAGGTAAAGAGATAGAAGATATTACACGCAGAATTTAAAGTAGTTCGGCTTATATCAAGCCTACGTCTACTCTCCTAGACTAATAACCACTAACAAGGTTGGAATGCACTAGAAATCTCATTAGTAGTTATAATGTAACACGTGTTGCTTCTTTTCGAAGCTGATAAATCCCACTATCAATACACAAGCATTCCTGTCACGCTTGTACAGTTTTCAAATCACAAGTTATATCAATAAGAATTCTTGATAGATTGAACAATAAGTTAATAAAGGCATGATTGCAGTAATCAAAGAGAGCGTGACAATATCGGTGTTGTAACTTTCTCAATATTCCTTTGGTCGCGTCAGCTTTTGATTCTCTTATAAAAACCTTCAGTCTCAATTTAGCAGTTGGATAATCGTCAAGCGGATCAATTAGCCATTGGAATTTGATGGACACAACTACTGGATATCTGGTTGCATATACACTGAAATTTTCTTAGCAAATGTATAGTTTCGATAAATAGAGTCAGCAATTTTGTCAATCATCCATTCCTCTGATTGAGTGAGGAAAATAGGAAAGAATTGATTTTATTCAGTCTCCGATTCTTCTTTCGTGAATTCGAGAGCTAGTGACGAGCCTTTAGATACCAATTTAGAATTAAATCGGAAAGAGTTCTAGGTCTTCGTATCTAGATAACACGATAAGTATCATACATATATAGTTGATGTAGAGAGCTGCCTTTATCAACGATCCAATGAGTCTGATAAAGCTGCCCTCTAGAGATTGGGGAAAAGTGCCAAAAAAGTCCTAAACCTTTTGCATTAGTGCCAATTTAGTCCTAAATCTTTTTTTGGTGCCAATTCAGTCCTAAACCTTTTGCATTGGTGCCAATTTAGTCCTAAACCTTTTTTTGGTGCTAATTCAGTCCTAAACCTTTTAAATTGGTGCCAATTCAATCCTAAACCTTTTGTTTTTGTGCCAATTTAGTCCTTCCGGTCAATTTTGACCGGATTTTGCCGACGTGGACGCCTGCCGGCCAGTCACCGGCGTTGACGTGGCGCCGACGTGGACAACTTTAATATTTTTTTAATATTTTTTTGAATTTTTATTTTTTTTCCTTTTTTTTCTTTTTTTTCTCACTTTTTTTTTGGTCTCTCCCTCCTCCCTCTGGCCGGTCGCCGGTCCGGCGACCGGCCAGAGGCCAGAGGCCGGTGAGCTCGACCTCGCCGGCCACTGGCGAGGGCGGCCTCACCCGGCGAAGGCGGGCCTCGCCTTGGTCGGGCGAGGCCCGACCTCGCCGGATCTGGCGAGGTCGAGCCTCGCCCGACCAAGGCGAGGCTCGAGCCCTCGCCGGATCCGGCGAGGTCGAGCCTCGCCCGACCAAGGCGAGGCTCGAGCCCTTGCCGGAGGCCGCGGCGAGGGCGAGCCTCGCCATGGTCGACCTCGCCTCGACCATGGCGAGGCTCGCCTCGCTGCGGCCTCCGGCGAGGCTCGCCCTCGCCGGGCGAGGCCGCCCTCGCCAGTGGCCGGAGAGGTCGAGCTCGCAGGCCTCTGGCCTCTGGCCGGTCGCCCGTCCTCTGGCCGGTCGCCGGACGGGCGACCGGCCAGAGGGAGGAGGGAGAGACCAAAAAAAAAAACAATGGAAACAAAAAGAAAAAAAAGGAAAAAATTCAAAAAAATATTAAAAAAATATTAAAGTTTTCCACGTCGGTGCCACGTTAGCGCCGGTGACCTGCCGCCGGCCGGCAGGCATCCACGTCGGCAAATTCCGGTCAAAATTGGCTGGAAGGACTAAATTGGCACAAAAACAAAAGGTTTAGGACTGAATTGGCACCAATTTAAAAGGTTTAGGACTGAATTGGCATCAAAAAAAGGTTTAGGACTAAATTGGCACAAATGCAAAATGTTTAGGACTGAATTGGCACCAAAAAAAGGTTTAGGACTGAATTGGCACTAATGCAAAAGGTTTAGGACTTTTTTGGCACTTTTCCCCTAGAGATTGACTTACGAATTGCTATCGATTGATCTTCGTGAGTATATGAATGATCAAGACTTTACTCAGCTGTTTACCTAATCACGGTCTCTCCAAGTCTTCAAGAACCTCATTCTCCTAGACTTGTTGACCCTCTCTATTCAAGTCCACCTAGCTTTTAGTCGTCTTTCACTGTAAACTTTAGATACCGACGAAGCGTTCTTTGTCTACCTGAAATAGACAACATCTTATAAAATAGACAACATATGCATTTAGCAATAAATAAGAGAAATAAAAGGTTTTGTCAACTTCATAATATTACAGAGAGGTTTTCCCTACAGTCTCCTTTGCCTCTATAACCGGGGACTAGGATGCTTTAATTTGTTCTTCTAGTTCTTTTTATAGATGCATTAGATTGGATTGTTGTTCTTCCCTAGGCAGATCTTGGTTGATAGTGTTTCTACCTGCTGAACAGGTTCCTTATCTTCAGTAACCTTTCGTAACTCTGATTTTCTTGAAGCCCGACGTGAATTGACTCCTCTACTACTTGCGTGTTCTTGTTAACACTCTCTATGCTTTACTATTAGTAAAAAACCAAGAAATATACTTTTGTCCACCTTTTGATCAAACTTACCAACACTATCATTTGCATTCTTTAGAATGTAATACTTGCACAAAAAACATGAAAGTATGAATTGTTTGGTTTTCTATTTTTAAATAACTCATGGGTGGTTTTATCCAAAAATGGATTGAGAAAAACTTGATATATAATGTAATAAGCAATAGATACTGTTTCAGCCCAAAAATATAAAGGAAAATCACGCTCTATCAACATGGTCCTATAGAGATCTATTCTCTCTCTACAACTCTATTTTGTTGTGGTGTGCGAGGAGATGAAAAATTATGTTCTAAACAATTTTCGTCGCAAAAATATGAAAAATTTTGATTTTCAAATTCTCTCCCATGACAGATGAAATGCTAAAACATTTTCAATTTGAACATTTTTGGCAAATTTTATGAGAGTGAAATTCTTCATGTTTCTGAATTAGAAAGCGAACCCAAGTTAATCTAGAATAATCATCTACTATCAACATCTCTTACCATCGAGACTCAAGTTTCGAGTTGGTCTAAAAAAGTCCAGTTGTTGTAGTTACAGAATTGGGTTTGTAGATACAGAGTTTATGAATTTAAAGGGAAAATTCTAAAAAAAGGACTCGAAGTGGAGTCATTTTCTCAAATAAAGGCCTAAAGTAGACATTGTCTCAAATAAGGATCTGAAGTGCCCTCATTTTCTCAAATAAGGGCCTCAAGTGAATCTTGTCTCAAATAAGGCCCTGAGGTGGTCATATCAGTTTCAAATAAGGACCTGACTTCACCGGCTAAAGGGTGTTTTCGTCTTTTTACTTTCTTGAATTTTTTTCTTTCTTTTTTCCTTTTTCTGTTTTTTTCTTTTTCTTTTTTTTTTTTCCCTCTCTTCCCTCCACCGGCGATCGCTGGGGCCGACGGAGGTCGTCCTAACCTGGGCAGGCGAGGGTTGACCTCGTCGGCATAGGGCAAGGGCCGCCCTTGCCTACCTTAGCGAGGGTCGCCCTCGCCAGATCCAGCGAGGGCAACCCTCGACCTCGCCAGCCCAGGCGAGGGCGACCCTTGCCAAATCCGGCGAGGGCAATCCTCGCCCTTGCCAGCCCAAGCAAGAGCGGCCCTCGCTCAACGCCGACGAGGGCGACCCTTGCTCGACGCCGGCAAGGGCG